ACCCCCCCCCCCCAGTCCTGGTACGTAGACTATTTGAGGCTCTCCAGGTGGGCAAGTGCTGGCACGTGGCTATTTCAGAAGAAAGGCCTGATTCTGTTTACGCTGAAGTCTGTCCATTGTCACTGCCCCAGACAGACCAAGCATGATTCTATAAGAAGCCTCACGTAAGTGTTCATGTGAGCCCTCCACCACGACACAAGTTTCACTCACCCCGTCTAACTACTCCCACTTGGACGTAGTACATCTGCAAACAGAGGTCCCAAAAAAGATGGTAGAGAAGTCTTACTGAAATCCTGTGACTACACAACCATAGAGTTCAAGGTGTCAAATTAAGCAAGTCAAGCAAGATGTGAAAACATCTAACACTGTCCAAAGTACCCTTGGTAAATGTGTTTAAGAATAATTCTCACAGGATCAAAGGAAAATATCACAGCATCTCATTACAAATTCTGTCCTACTTCACGCCCTAGCCTGTTTGGCTCAGTAGTTAGAGCATCGGCCTGTGGACTAAAGGGTCTCAAGTTCAGTTCTGGCCAAGGGCACATGCCTTGGTTGCAGGCTTGATCCCCGGCCCCGGTCAGGGCTCATGCGGAAGGCAACCAATCGATGTCTCTCTCCCCCACCCTTCCACTCTCTGTAAAAAGCAATGGAAAAAATATCCTTAGGTGAGGATTAACAAAAAAATAAAAATAAAATTCTGTCCTACTTCAGTTCACTGAATAAAATCTGAACTCTGCAGGACCATCAATATTTAGTCCTATATATAAGTTTAATAGCTTTTGTTTTGTTGATAATGAATGGATAGATGGCTGCATGACTTGAATGGATGAATTGATTCATCAGTTAGCTATTTTGCTTTTTGGTCTCAATAGAATTTCATCTTTAAGTTAAAACTGTCATTTTAACTCTTCTGTATTCATCTGCAGCTGGAGTGCCAAGCTGTACCTCACACCAAGTAACATTGTCCTGCTGACAGCCATTGCGCTCATCGGCGTCTGCGTGTTCATCCTGGCCATTATTGGCATCTTACACTGGCAGGAAAAGGTTTGTTTGTGTCAATGACATGTTAACTTTGGGTAATTTATCATAGTAATATACTGCTCTAAAAACACCATATTTAAGCTTTTATGACGAGTAAGATTTTCTGATTTTTCAAGTTCTGTCCATAATGTCATCTTACTTGATGATAATTTCTTATATCCCCTTAAATTCTTTGTCTCTTAGCAATTCCTACAAATCACAGGAGAAGACTATTTTAAATCATAGATGTTGTACAATAGTTATAAAGTAATCACCCCAAAATTGCCAGGTGTATAAAAATTTAATTAGAAGCCAGAATGGCCTGGAAAATGGTCATCATTTTTGTTTTGTTTTATCCACACATGAGGATATTTTTCCATTGCTTTTCAGAGAATGGAAGGGGGAGAGAGAGAGAGAGAGGGAGGGAGGGAGAGAGGGAGGGAGACATCGATTGGTTGCCTCCTGCATGTGCCGGGACCAGGGCTGGGGTTTGAGCCTCCAACTAAGGCATGTGCCTTTGGCCAGAATCGAACCCGGGACCCTTCAGTCCTCAGGCCGATGCTCTAACCACTGAGCCAAATGGGCCAAGGGGATCATTTTTGAAAGAGTGGGTTCACGATCTCCCGGGAGAGCCATGGACACTCTTCTCGGGGATGACAGCTCTCTGAGAAGAGTCAGCACACAGGGTAACAGCATCTCAGGGTCGAAATGGGAAGTAATGAAGTGACCCATCTTCCATCTGTCAAGTATTCTTTGCACTAAACCAATTTCTGCACTTTAGTGTAACACCCTAAATAATTAAAAACAAATCTCCAAAAATGTAGACTTTTATACAATGCTAATGAGGAGGAAAAGAGGCCATCACAAATTATTAGTTTAGATATAAATTGAAAAAACTAATTTCTAGCCTTGGCCAGTATGGGTCAGTGGTTAGAGCATCGGCCTGGGGACTGAAGGGTCCTGGGTTCGATTCTGGCCCAGGGCATGTACTTGGGTTGCAGGCTCAGGCCCAGTCCCCGGCCCCAGTCGGGGGAGCACGGGAGGCAGCCAGTCGGTGTGTGTCTCTCTCTCTCCTGTCCACTCTGAAAAGCAGCGGAAAAATAACCTCGGGTGAGGGTAAAAAAAGAAAGAAAAAGCTAATTCCTAGTTGCACATGAATATAAAGTACATAACTAGCAGGTCCCAACAATGTTTTCCCAAAAAGGGTTCCTTTGTGTGATGAAAGTCTTTCTTCTTTTTGCACTGCTCCCTTTGTATCGTCATGCCCGTCACAGTCATTGTTAACTAAAATTACCATCGGTGTTATCTTTGCTATTTTAACTTATGAAAAAGAGCATGCTCCTTGTTCTGATAAATGTTCATAGGTTTGTCTCTCCAAAAATATCACTCCTTTCATATCAGAAATATGGTAACAAAATTACGTGCTCAGTTCATTTTCAGACCAACGGAAGAGGCAAGACCCAGGGTGACCTGTGTACTTTGTCCAGAACTGTCAGGTCGTAGCCTGAAATGTTACATAGCTCTAAACCTAAATTAAGGAAATTAATTTGGTTAATTTCTCAGGGGATCTGATTACAGTAGAAACGTGGGCTTCCCACGCTCGCCGCCTAAGAACATGGGGCTTTAACATACACTGTGTGCTCGGCCTCCCCGGCACCTGGTGGCTCTCTTGCTGCCTCTCTCTCCATTTCACTCTCCCTGGCTGCTCCTTTCTTCCACTTCCAACCACGGCATCCATGCCGGGCTATTCTTGCCTGCCGATTTCATCCAAAACCATGGCTCTGCCTCTTAACTCAGACAACCCCAGCCTTCCTCTCTCCCCAAAGTTCTCTTCCCCCACCTCCAGCTGGCACGGGGACATCTGTACCTAGATCACTGGCAAGCACCTTAACACCAGGACTCTCAAGCTTTGTCACTCTTCTTTCTTTCTTATTATAAGACTCCATCAGTCGCCCTCCTAACTCTGGCTCCGTCGGCATCCCTGCTGCTGTCTCCACTCCTGCTAGTGCTTCCGCTCAGCTCCGTCACACCCACCTGGTCCCCGATTCCACCCAATGCCCCTCCTCCATCCCATTGCTGCCAGGTTACTCAGCATGAAGGTCAGCCTTACCCTGTCACTCCCTGCTCAGACCTCTGGTGACTGCCCCCTTGTCGGCCTCACCGCCCTTCCGTGGACCACCCGGCACCTCGCCGACCTCTGCCTCACCAGGTGCCAACATGTGACCCACACGCCTGCCGGGCTCCATGGCAGCCTGTGCTACTCCGACTGCCAGAAATACTAGCCCTTCCAAACTGCCCTTTCCTCACCCACCCTAAAGTAATCTCTCTCAGAACACTGGAACATTTTTCACTTTATCCTGAAATACTATTCAGTATATTTGGCTTTTTTCTTTCTAAGCTTTAAGTTCCTTGAAACCAAAATACAAAACTGAGGGTCTTTTTAATCCCACACAGTACCAGCACAGTACTTTGCTGGGAGCAGAGTCAATAAATATCTGCTAAATCAATGGGTTAACCCCAAAATAATTAATATAGTTTAATATAATCAATTTAGATTTGCTTGTTGACATCAGTGTTGAAAATGGGGAAATGTAATAGTTGATTATGTCCTTACAGAATCTCATGTTAATCCTGCTTTCAAATAAATAATAAATAGTAACAAAGTAAGCATTTATGGAACATCTCTTGTTGGTTTTTAGATTCAATTTAGTGGATCATTAATTATAAAATCACTCCCATAAACGTCAAAAACAGTGCATAAGACTGTTACAAAATTACACCTGTTATCTCTTCGTTGCTGAGGGCTTTTTTAAATTAACCACTTTCATGTCAGAAATGAGTCTTTCCTGACATTTCCTATCATTTATAAACTGGCCTAACCTTCTCTTTCAGAAAGCCGATGACAGAGAGAAACGACAGGAAGCCCATCGGTTCCACTTTGACGCCATGTGACCTGCCTTTAGTGTTAGGTGTGGGTTGGCCATTCCCTTGATTAACTGAAATGTGAAATTTGGCCTAGACAAGAAAAGGGGGAATGTTGAGTATTATTTATAAACTATGAATCCTTTGGTAATTATTGGGAAGTATGCAGATAAGTGTGGTCTGTGTCTCGGGTCCTTTTGAAGCACTTTGCGTACGGTAATTGGGTTCTTCATTTGATCGTGCTGTAAATTTTGTTCCTTTGTGGGTGTGGTGCATGTCTCAGGTGTCTGTATGTATGATCTTATTAGCATAATGACGACGGGAAAGACTGTAAATAAAAATATTTAAATGAGCAGGGTTGTTTACGTTCCCGAGTTGGTCTTCTCATCTTACCCGTGCCAAGGACACTCGTGTGACTATCACAGATAAAGTCATTCACCTCCACCTCCATCTGGCAGGTCCGGTGTCTCACCAGTGGCAGACAGGACAGTACTGGGAACCTGGGCTGGGAACCACAGTTGGGCACACTTGCCTTGGACTCCTGGTCCCGCCACCGACAGGCTGTTTGAACGTGGCTGGTGCTTAACCTCCATGAGCCCCATTTCCTTGGTTATCGGGCTGATACTATTGCTCAGCTGAGCTACTGTGAGCATCAAATGGGATGAGCTGTGTGAAGCGCTGAGCTCAGCGTGGAGCACAGAGTGAGTGCTCAGTAAGTGCTAACTGTCGTCACTATTGTTAGCTCATTTTTTTAGACTTCTGCAACTAATTATCAAAATATAGACTGGACAGAATTTTATTTTCAGGCATTAGGGAATCATATCTGAAAAACCTAAATTCTTGGTGGTTGACATCTTATAGAAGGATTTATTAGTTACTTATATGAACTAAAAATGTAACAGTATCCTGTAAGAATTAGTGTGCCCTAAAAGTTTTCATTTGCACACTGATCTTATCACACGGGGATGACGAGCATTCGCCCTCCCGGGGGAGCCACTGCAGGCGCATCTGGGAGGGCGCAGCTCCAGTCACTCCCTTCAGGGCTCGTGGAGTGTTTCCATTCGGATCCCGGTGCCCATCTCTGTGCACCGCACCTCGCCAAGGAGTTTCTGCGAGGTTGAAATCTAAGCTTGGGAGGTTTATGTATCTGTCCAATATGCAAGTGGACGCGTGCCGCTCCAAAACATAAAAACTACCTGGAAACAGTTCACATTGCTCTTCATGTTCTCTTCTCTGCGGTTGCCAAGAGTGGTCTGTGCACGCAGTTCCTGTGTCTAGCGTATTAATGTGTCTCAATAAACACTGTACTGAGGACTCACAAAGAATTTCGGTGGGTTTGTAAATAATTATTTTGGAGCATGAAGAGGCTTAAGGGGTCATGAGGTCAAAAGCACTTCTCTGGACCGTGAGACATAGGGAAAGGGACTCGCCTGTTGCCCCCCTGTGAGTCGGGGAAAGACAGGCACCTGCCACTACAGTAGCCAGTGCAGGACACGCGGCAGCTCCCCGCCCGCGGACAACACGTGAGTGACAATTACAAATACAGACACACGGAGACCTTGGAGTGTGCTTCTGTACCTCTATACTAACCTCCGAATGCAACATCAGTGTCATTTATTAAGGGCCAGCAGGTGCAAAACAGAATCAAATCCAAGCACCTTTTTATTAATTTTGAGTATTGTCCTGGAAAGAGCACAAGACTTCGAGGTTAGACAAACCTGGATGCTGAGTCTAACTGTTCCCTTTTGTGACTTCAGTCACTTTGCCTCTTTGGGCTTTGGTTTCTTCATCCGTAAAACGGAGTGAGTGCCACCTCCTTAAAGATCTGCGTGAGTCTTCCAGTGGCCAGGGCACAGGAGCTATTGGTGAGCCAGGCTCCTTTCCGCCCTCCCACCTCCCGCTGCAGTGGCAGCCGTGGCGCTTCTGACCCCTCCACTGGCCTACGCGTCTGTAACCCTCCTCGGGGACCTAGGAGTAGGAGTTCTTCATAATCACTCCAAAGGGGACTCAAAAAGTTACATGTGGATTTTCAGCTGCATGGCGGGATGATACCCCTCCACCTTGTGTGCCCAAGGGTCAGCCGTACTGAAAATACATTGCTGTTAACACACCATTTATTCAGACTAGCCCTTTATGTTTCTCTTATCTACCAGCCAAAAAAAAGTCATATATTTTCAAAAGCTTGATTCCCAAATAGTTCTCACTCCTAGGCCTCAGGATCAAAGGTCACGCACACTGTCCTTGCCCTCCCCACCCTTGCAAAGGAACAGCGGGACCACTGGGTGGAGAAATACCAGACACCCCCTCACGTTACTAACCATCCCCACAAACCCATGAGGAGCACCTCAGGCATGGCTGCCAAACCGTCAAAGGGAAAAGATCTTGGCCTCATAAGTAGCCTTTTCTAGCAGAGAAAGCCTGTAGCAAAGTGCTTCAAGGTGTAGGGAAAATTAGATCCCTCGGCTACACAACAAACCTTAGATTTATACCAGGCTCCGGTGGCTTCTTACAGTCATTGCACGAGAATGAATTTAATTCCATGTTTTAAAAAGTAATTTTTCTTTTGTCCTTTAGAAGACCTCTAAGAAAGAGTAAAACGAGTAAATATTAACCCTTACAAATAGAACTACTCAAAAAAGAAACTGAAAAACGTGACTTGTGTCCAACAGCCCGATGGTCTACTGAGGGCTAAGCTGAGATACTTAAGGGCTGGCTCCTCGGCACAAAGGTGAACTAACAGGTGACCGGCGTTGCCGTGACTGGCAGCCTGGCTCTCCATCGCCTGGCAGTTGCTCTAAAGGACTAATAATCAGTTAAGGAGTGCTCTCGCTCAACACCTGGACAGAGGAAGGGAAGGAAGCCAGACTGGGCGGGGGAGAAATGGGATTGAGATGCACTGGGCGGATGCTTCGGATGGGCCGACTGGGTTTCGAGAGAGAATGAGCCCTCCTATCCCCTAAACTGTCCCAAGTCAGCGTAAGAAGGCTGGGCCTTTACACCCCACGCTCATCAGTCATTGGTGACAGGCTGCCCCAAGAGCCTCTATCAAGAAAAAGAAAATGGAACGTTTTACATGCCATTTGGGACATTTAAACTCAGATTGGAAATCCGAGAGCAACATTGACATTTTAGAATTTACAATTACCGCTATGTATAGTTTCCACCTATTTGAGATGGATTTGAAATAAGTCAATAGTCTGTCTACGTCGGGGCTGGTGATGGCACTTTCAAAACTGTTGGGTATAAATAAGCAAACATGCGTTGCTTAGGACTTTCTGTCATCGCAGAACGCTTAGCCACCAGGCAGTAGGGACCACGCAGAGTTCACTCCTTACCCACATAACCAGAATACAAAGCTCCCTTCTCTGTAATATCATTCTTCTCAATCGTTACATAAATTGCCATATTTATAAGAAAGTAAATGTCCAGTTCAACCATGATTTACAAATTGTGTAAATTAGCCATAGAGTTGTTATATGCCATTCTCTTGTAAAATATGTGTTTTAAATAAATCTATCTATGACTACAAAATAACCAATTGGGCACAAATAACCAATGTCAGAGATACAACCATGGATAATGTATATACTAAAACAAAATACACCACATCTCTGTTGGGTCGACTATAGAAGTCTTCTGACATTAAACAAATCTTCAGTAAATGCAGTTATACCATGGTCATGGACAGCACGACTGTTATGAAGATGTCAGATCTCTCCCAACGCCGCTCAGTATCTCAGTGGGTTTGGTTGTTGCTGCTGAACTTGATAAGCTGTTTCTAAAATATATGTAGGACCAGAAAGGGCCAAGAACAGCCAGTTCAATCTTGAAAAAGAGCAAGNCTGAACTTGATAAGCTGTTTCTAAAATATATGTAGGACCAGAAAGGGCCAAGAACAGCCAGTTCAACCTTGAAAAAGAGCAAGAAGCCCGGCTGGGCGTGGCTCAGTGGTTGAGCATCGACCTAGGACCCAGGAGATCAAGGTTCAATTCGCCATCAGGGCACATGCCCGGTTGCGGGCTCGATCCCTCATCAGGCGTGCAGGAGGCAGCTGGTCAATGACTCTCATCATTGATGTTTCTCTCTCTCCCTCTCCCTCTCTCTGAAATCAATAAAGGTTTTTGTTTTTTTTTTAAAGTTGCTATCAGATACCAAAATTTAAGATAAAGTTACAACAATGAATACAAGTGTAGTATCAGTAAACAGACGGGTGGGTCAAAGACCTAAATGTGAAATGCAAATTCATAAGACTGTAGTATTTAATATACATAAATAAATTCATGACCCTGGGATTTGGTGCCTTATCCAAGTCACAACACAACCCGTAAAGGAAGCTTTTGATGTACTGGAGTACATTAAAATGAGTAACTTCTGTTCATCACAGATACTGTTAAAAGGGTGAAGAAACAAGCCATAAAATGAAAGAAAATGTTTTCAACATATATGACTGATTAGTGTTCAAAAATAGAGAAATTCTATACAATTATTTTTAAAAACAGCCCAGTAAAAAATTGGGCAAAAGTTTTGAACAACTATCCACCAAAAAAAAGGAAATCCAAGTAGTCAATGAACATATAAAAAGGTGTTCAACCTGATTATTAAGAAAAATTTAAATTATAACCTCACTGAGCCTGAACAGCGTGGCTCAGCGGTTGAGCATCGACCTAGGAGCCCGGAGATCGCCGTTCGATTCCTGGTCAGGGCACATGCCCGGGTTGCGGGCTCGATCCCCAGTCGCGCGTGCAGGAGGCAGCCGATCAATGGCTCTCTCATCGTTGATGTTTCTCTCTCTCCCTCTCCCTCTCTCTGAAATCAATAAAGACATTTTAAAAAAATAATAAGTTATAACCTCACTGAGATGCCACTAAACACACACTAGGTTGGCAAATGGCGGTAACAGCTGGCAATAACCAAATGTTGGTGCAGATGTGGAGCAAGAGAGACCTTGCACACGCCTCGTGGACTTTATGAAGCAGTGTTGCTTTTCCTCTCGTTTCCTGAAGCTGAAGCTCTGGAAACTGTAACTCCACACTAACAGAAACCCTTGCACAGGGACACCAGGGTACAGGTGTACCAACCACCCTTGGGGTGGCGGGGGTCTAGCTTTTAATGGCTAAAAGCTATAAACTGTCAAAACCATCTGCCTGGATTTTTATGCAATGAAATACTGTGCAGCCATGACATTAATGATGTCCAGCTCTACCTAACGACTCACATCCACCTCATAAAGTTAAGCAAAAGGCAAGACACGCAAGCATGCACACAGCACGATACTGTTCATATAAAGTTCAAAATAGGGGGAAAGCTAGTTAAGCGCAAATTTTCAACTGTGCAGGAGGTGACCTGCACAGTCGACCAACTGTATATTGTTTAATGATTCATTTACAGGTGGAAAACTCTAAAGGAGAGAATTTTACGCTTTGATATGATGGTTTCATGTTGTACAATTAGCTAGCATGCGTTTCAGTTGGAAGTAAACAGGTTTAAGCATAAATTAAACAGATCTCCTTTCAAAATGGGACTTGGGCTTTTGAGAAAAGATGCCACAGATGTTAGCAACCTTATTCTAAAAAATATAACTAGGACCTTTTGTCTGAGTTTTTTACAACCAAATGAAAGCAACTGGATGACCAGAAACTTTCCTGGTAAAGTTGAAATACTTTAGTAGTGGTATAGTAGGCAATGTTCCTTTAAATTTTTCCTGCTTTGGAATATGCTAAGCAGAAATTTGGAAACGAGTTTAGGTGACAGTTATTCAAAGAACCAGTTTTGACTCCCTGGAGGCAGCTCTTCTCCAGCATCATTAACACAGGAATCGCCCGGTGGGTGTGCTCAGCGTCGGGGCAGAGAGGTCGGGCTGGATCACCGGTCGGGGCACCAGCCCCAGTAGCGGGCTGGGTCCCCAGTACGGGGTGTGCAGGAGGCAGCCAATCGACGTCTCTCTTGCACTCCCCGTCATCTCTCTCTAAAATCAATAAAAACTGTGGTTTTTTCTAATCCTCACCAGAGGATATTTTTTTTCATTGCTTCTCAGAGAGAGTGGAAGGGGGGAGAGAGAGAAACATCAATGTGAGAGAAACACGGTGACTGGTTGCACTCACCCAACCAGGGCCAAGCCTGCAACCGAGGTACATGCCCTTGGCTGGAATCGAACCCAGGACACTTCAGTCCGCAGGCTGATGCTCTAACCACTGCGCCAAACTGGCCAGGGCAATAAAAACATTTTTTAAAGGAATAATTTGGGTTCATAAGTATATGGACTGAATTGTGCCCCCCTCCCCCATTCATATGTTGAAGCGCTAACCCCAAAGCCACCATATTTGGAGACAGGGCCTTAACGAGGTCATTAATGTTAAATGAGGTCATAGGCATGGGACCCTAATACAATAGGGCGAGTGCCCCTTATGAGAAGAGGAAAAGACATGAGAATGTGTGGGGCACACAGGAAGGGCCATGTGAAGACCCAGCAGGAAGTCTGCAGTCTGCAAGCCAGGACGAGAGTCTCCCCTTGACCTTGGACTTCCAGCCTCCAGAACTGTGGGAAAATAAACTTCTGTTGTTTAGGCCCCCGGTCTGCAGTATTTTGTTATGGCAGCCCAAACAGATTAATACAATGCATTAAAAAATTAACAATTTTCTTTTCCTTCCCTCAAAAACAAACAAACAAGAAACAGTTGTATGATCACAATGAGGTCTTCATACACTGAGGTGCTATAGGATCTGTTTTCCACTAAGTTTTCACATGGGAGTAGCCCTGTCTGCACCCTGTAATAAAAGCAGTGTGAGACTTCACCACAAACGGGTGTTCTCTACATCAGCCTGGGTGTGCGCAAACCCCTCTCCTTCCTTGGGTGCACCGGTGCTAGTGTGCCCAGGCTGCCGTGACGAAGCAGCACAGACTGGGTGGCTTGGGCGCCATGTATTTCTCACTGCTCTGGAGGCTGGGGGTCCCAGAGAAGGGTCCGAAGGCCGTTTCTGCTGAGGGCTCTCCTCTTGGCTGCAGGCTGCTGCCTTCTCGCCACGTCCTCGGCAGCCTCTCCTCCCTGCTGCACCCCTGGCGTCTCTTCTCACAAGGACACTAATCCTGTCAGGTCAGGGCCCCACTCTTTCTACTTCATTTAACCTTAGAGGCCCCATCTCCAAATACAGTCGCACTGGGGGGGTTAGGACTCAACATAGGAGTTTTGAGGGAAATAAACATTCAGGCCACAGCTATTCCTGCCCATAACAACCTGCCTTACTAGGCTGTCATTTAATGAACGGTTAGAGTTCCCAAACTCTAGCAAAAAAAAAAAAAAAAGAGAGAAAAAACTGTTTCGTACCTGAGCATTGAGAGAAAACGCTGCATTTCTGTCATGATTTATTCTAAGAGCAAGTCAGTGCTACACACCACCACACAAGTGCTGCAGGAGCCTTGGCCAGAGAAAACCAAACTTAAACTGCAGGCACGATTCTGCGAGGAGCTGGAGAGGCTAGACCTGTGCCAGGAACCGTGGGCAGGATGTAATGAAGCCTCAGCACCTGGGAGCTGGCAGGTGACCCGGGAACAGGCTGGGTGCTCCTGGGTGGTCTTCCGGGAAATAACAGCTCGGATCCAGGCCTCCGCAGCTGAGCGCCCTGCCCGCTGCTCTCCTTTTGCGTTCGCTCGCATATGGCCACACAGCAGTGCCCGCTACACTGGAGCTCCACCGCATTCCTTGGAAGCTGCCCCAGACGTTCACCCTCCTGCATACAAAAGACAGGTGTCTTCGGAGGGAGCGGAGAAATGAACATCTCCACCCCCTTCCCTCTCCTCGGGATTCCACTCCCCAGCCAACACACCAGAGGAGAGAGGCCGTTCAGGGTCCATCAGATGGTGCCACCAGCGAGAGCGACCAGGCTGATGAAACCCGCGGTTGGCACGCATACTTTTTTAGTTACTACGGCTGCTCTCATCTCTCCTCTTTTATTACAGCCTCGACTCGACTGCCAGGTTCTTCCACTGTAAAGAACTATGCCTCTGGCCTCCTGAATCAAGTGCAGGCTCCTCTGCCTCATACTCAAGCAAGGGTCTCCACCGCGAGGCCCACCACAGTCCACCGGGACTGCCGCTACGGAACACCACACTCCCCGACTGGCACGCTGGCCCTTCCCCGCCCCTCCGGCTCGCCAGCGCAGCCCTCCCTGCTGTGTGCACCCTCCTTCCCAGAGCAGTCACCCTCCCATGGCATCGCGCAGGCTCTTCCTCCATCGATGGCTGTGCACTGAGAACTGTCACCTTCAGAAGTGCACACGGCTCCTTCCTCCCAATGCTTCTTGTCCACCGTGGTCTGCGACTTAGAGTTAGTACTCTTATTGCTGCCCTAGTCTCCCAATGTGTCACTTTATTACATTTGTGGAAAGGGCTCTTAAATATTTTATTTACTAGTTGGTTCTTGTGTGCAATCTCAATACAACTTGTATTGTAGGTGACTTGTATGAGCCAAACATAACATCTCTGGCACCTCCCACGGCACATGGTAAAGGGATAAATACCTTGATATTTACCGTTGTTAAACAGTCTTCACTAGCCACCCCGTGGATAGTACTGGGCGCAGTTCTCCGAGGGATGGAAGGAAGGAGGGAAGACCTTGCATCTCCGGCAGGCTGTTTTCAGATACTGTCCCTAACCTGTTGGGCAAATATCTGGAGAGCTCCTACTGTGTGGGACACGGGCACCCGTGTTGCTGACTCCGGCGG